ATCAGAAGTTAGTTTAAATATATAATGATAGAAATGACATGAATTTTATGATACATATTTTTATAATAATTTTGGAAGCCCATGGCATGATTTGACCATGAGTTAAGAGACACTGTTCCAATATAAATCCTCATATTTGGGTTTAATGAGTTGTTTAAGTACTGTTAGTTAACAAGTGTCTTGATTATAACTACTCCTCACATTAAAAAATATAAAATATTTTTAAAAAGTTAGATATTAAAAAAATATAAGACATTGTTAGTCTTTCGAAGTGTAATAATTATTTTTTTTTAAAATATCTTTATTGATAAATGACTTTATATTTATTATAAGGTGTTTAATAGGAGTAAATATGAAAAGATAAGATTAATTTAAAAATAAATAATTACTTTATTGAAGGTCATATTCGATTAAAAATGTTATACATCTTTGAAGGAAAAAGTATTAAATTTTTTCAATACTTAAAATTATTAAAATATATTTCTTTTTAAAAGTTCAAAAACATTAATCACGAATAGAATACTCCTTACTTATGTTATTACATCCAAAAATTTGAGATATAACATTCTTTTAATATTATATGATAAAATTTTTAAAATACTTATTAAGTGAGTGTATTTAACCTCCCCTTCTTGGCGCCAATATATACCCACGTGTTAAACACCCACACCCTCGTCAACTTCACTTTGGTGTCTAATGACTTTTTAAAAGTAACGTCACGTGGCGTTACGAGTCCTATTTAAGTATTTAATTTGTCTTTTTTTATTTACTTTTCTTATTTTAATTAATATTTTATACTTTAATTCTTTTTGGCCAAGTACATGAGATGGTGGACGATGAGAAAAATTCTGGTTTTGTGAACTCTTGGGCCTCATTTGGTATGATGGAAAAGTTTTTAATGGAATCGGAATCGGCATCGAAATCGGAATCGGAATCGGAATAGAATTGAGTTTTAAAAGTGTGTTTGGTATGAAGATAGAATTCTAATATAATATTAATTTATATAGGTACTTAAAATAGGAAAAGACTAAATTACCCTTTTTTTTAAATTAAAAAGACCTATCTTATTATAAATGGATAAAAAAAATGAGGATAGGGGGTCCACAAATTGAATTCAAGGGAATTGAAGTAATTCCAGAATCAATATGATGGAATTGAATTCTAGCATTTTTTATGAAATTAGGATTCTTAAGAATTGCAATTCTTGCATACCAATCATGCTTAAATTAGGATTTCATCTTTGATTTCATTTTCACCTTATCAATTCAATGCTACCAAACATGGTTCATTGTTGTTTAGTTTTTCTAGTTGTAATAAAAAAAATTAGCCAACGTTTTTTATACTATGATTAAGACTTAATTTGAAAAAAAAATGATATGTACTCTCTCCATTCAAAAATGTAATGTATTTTTTGAGAAGTTGGATGTTAAAAAATGTAAGACATTTTTAGTCTTTTAAAATATAATTATTATCTTTTTTTAAAGTACCCCTATTAATAATAATTTTACATTTATTATTAAGTGTTTAATATGGGTAAATATAAAAAAATAATGTTAGTTAAAAAGTAAGTAACTACTTTATTGAGGGTAAAATTTAATTAAAAATATCTTATTTTTAAATGGAGGAAGTAATTATTTTATCATAATTATCCTTCAAATTTAAGATATTTCATGTCAATAGTTTACATATACATTTTTATAAATCAATTAAATGTCCATGAGGAAAATCATTGACATTCATTGTGCTGCTTCTAGACAAATGATTAATTTGGATAAATTTTACTTTTTTTTCTTTGCTAATGCTAATGAGGAGTTGAGAGATAAAATATCTTCTGATTTGAATATTTTTTATGTTGACCAACTAAGCAAATATTTTGGTTTACCTGTCATTTAGGATAGTACTAGATTAGCTTCTCTTGTTTTTGTTAGAAATAAGGTGGGGTTGAAGATTTATAATTGGAGATAGAGATTGCCGACCCTTTTGGGGAGGGAGATTTTAATAAAAGCTATTGCTAATACCATACATGTTTATTCAATGGCTTGTTTTTCCTTTCATATTAAAACATGTAAAGAATTGGATAGGTTGATCTTTGAATTTTAGCGGAGCAATGGTGAGGATGGTGGTGGAAAAATTCATTAGAGAAGGTGAAGTTTGTTGACTAAATCTAAGCTTGATGATGGCAAGAGTTTTAGAGACTTCAAAACTTTTAATATTGCTATGTTTGCTAAAATTGCATGGAGATTAGTTAAAAATCCTAATGAATTTTGGTGTAAAATTTTGACAGGTATATACTTTCCTGAATGTGATTTACTTAAAGCAAAGAGAGGGAGAAGACCTTCATGGTGCTAGTGTAGTATATTGGAAGGCTATGATTTGTTGAAAAAAAATTCTGTTTGGAAGATTTGTGATGGTGAAATAGCCAATTTATAGTCAGATGCTTGGATACCAACCTTGAAAGGGATGAGATTGAAAGGAGAGGGGGTTGGAGAGAAGATGAAAAATTAGAAGATGGCCTCTTTCATATACAAAAAATGTTGAAAATTTGATACAATTGTTAATTTAATTTCAGATGAAGAGAAGACTAAAATTCTAAAAATTATAATTCTAACTGGAAATGGTAAGGATAGTTTAATTTGGATATCTTGTCGCAATGAGGCATACTCAGTCAAATTTGGTTATCACATGGCAAAAGTTGAAAATGATTTAAAGAAGGAAGCTAATCATAATGATTTTTTTCGATCTTCTCGCCAATTATGATTAGACATTTTATTTGGAAAGTGTTAAATGGTGTTAATCATGTTAATAATGTGACAGTCTGGTTTATAAAATAATAATATTAGTGCAAGGGAGAAAGCTTTGATTGCTAGTATATGCTGGGAAATTTGGAAATGTAGATGTGCTTGAGTTTTCAATAATGATAGAGTAGATCCTAAAAAGGTTATAGAAAATGCTACTCGGTTAGTAGATGAGTGTAGAAGTTTGAAGATTCATGGGAAGCAAAAGAAACAAGGTGGGAAGAATGTACAAATTAGTAGAATGAGGTGTTGCCAAAAACCTTTAGTTAGTGAAGCAAAAATAAATGTTGATGGTTCTTTTATTAATTCCATGAATGTGTTGGTATTGGAGTTGTTTGTAGGGATAATTTTGGATTTTTTTTGGGTTGTCTTGGCAAGGAGGTGGCTATTGATTCTCCTCTTATGGTTGAGTGTATGGCTGTTTTGGAAGGTCCGAAGGAAGCTCATAAATTTGTAGGTAGAAATGTTGTTATTGAGTTGGATTAAGAAGTGCTGTTTAAAATGCTCATAGATTTGTTAAATTTGGATTATGATTGGCATTATTATGAGTTTGTGTAGGATATATTATCTATCAAAGAATCATGCAAGGATGTTTGGTTCTCTTTGATGGCTTGCCAAGATAATGAAACTACTAATTTTTTAGCAATAATGGACTTTAAGAAGACATGTCCGATGATTTGTTAAAACTTCATCTTCTTTATTTTGTTTTTTGCTTGTTGATTTAATTGCTAATAATATTTTTGCTTTTGTTAATTGTGGGACATAGTGGAACAAAAAAGGCATTGGTTAAGTTGCCTAATTTTGCTTTGTTTTTGTTTCATTGGTTTTATTTTTTTTTTTCTTTTATGAGTTATGTGTTACGTTGTTTGCTTTTTGAGTTGGCTTTGGTTGTTAGTGGTTGTAATATTTTTTCAGTGATTAATAAAATTGGCTCTTCTTTTTAGCCAAAAAAGAATAATAATAATAATAATAATAATAATAATAATAATAATAATAAAATATTACAGCACATGGTTAGTCTTAGGAATCATAACAAGAACCACCCAATTTGTTTTGTTATGTTTTTTTTTTTTTGTTGTGGTAGGAAGAGCCACCCAATTTTAAAGAGTCCAAATCTATCTTAATTCATAAACACAGAATTGGTTGGGCCTTAGCACATCATATGTGACACCGAAAACCAATCTTATAAATTAACCCGACCCACCCGGCCCAGAATCACATGGCTTCTCCTTTCATTTGTATAAATGAAACTAGTTTCCGGTGTAAAAAAAATAAAACTAAGTTCAAATGCACAGCTCTAATGACATTCATTAAAATGCATCAAATTGTATTACCTTTCGTTTCTTGATATAAGGAAAAAAAAAAATCAATCCCTTTGTTTTTGAAACAAATGACATTTTGAAGTTGTGCATTTAGATTAACAAAACTAATAAATTAATAGCTTAAATTTTTTTAATACCAAAATTCAATGTATTTTTACTTTAATACAGATCTCAATGCATCATTTGTTTTAAAATGAAGGGGTAATTCACAATTACCCTCCATTACGTTTAATAAAGGGTTTTTTTTTTTGGGAGTGATTTCACATTTTATAATAGAGAGAGTGTTAGGAGTTTGGTTAAAGTTAAATGCAGGATACATTCAAAAGTTCATAAAAAAAAAAAGGATGCTTTCAAAAGTTTATGCTCCCTCTAGTTAAAAACATAAGATATTTAATCAAATTATACTATAATAAATTACTTAATTATCTTTGCATTGATAACACTTTTTCATATTTGTTATAATTTCAGGATGTCTCACTTATAGGAAAGGATTGAGTGATTTATTTATTAAAGATATTTAAAAAATTTATCAATTATATATTAAAAAATTAAAAATATCTTACATTTTTACACATAAAAAAATTATTTATATTTCTTACAGAGAGTACTCTAAATTTATTGAAAAAAATTAAGATTCCCAATCCCAAGTGAGTTTAGTCTTCCTTGATCTTTGCAATTTTTAAAGCAAAAACATCTCATTGATTATATGGAGTAAAACGTAAGCGAAGGACTAAGGAGTATAACTATATATATATATATATATATATATATATCCCGAGTCCAATTTATATGTGCATTATCATGGTCAAGGGTTATTTCTCTACATAAATCACAGCATTAGAGAATAAAATATTTTAGTCAACAATGAGAGAATCAAAGAACATATTCTTCAAAATCGCACAATCATGTGACTAAAGTTTCATTCATAGTATCACACCGTGAGATGACCCCAACAATAATAATCAAAATTATTATAAAACAATTATTGCTAAAGCCTATTCAAGGCAAACATTTAATAGATTCAAAGCAAGTCCAGACGTATCCTGTATCCTGACATGAAGCTATAACTTAACTACAACAGCATAAGGTTTCACAGCAGACCCAATCCACAACCTCCCATTATGTTCTTCCACTTCACTCACTGACTCAAGTTCTGAACCTCCTCCTCCATCCAAAACTTTCAAAGTCTTTCTCTTCTCATCAAACTTCACTCCCACAGGGTCATCTCCTAAACCTGCATAATTATCTTCATTGTTATCAGATGATGTCCTATTACTGTTCAGACCCACCCAGAAATCTCCGTTTCTGTCTCTCTTGATGTTATCTGGTGGCCTTTCAAGTTTTGTGAAGAGCTCTGAAGTGTAAGTCTTGGAGCCTTTGAGCCAAAACTTGTTTATCTTTCTTAAACTTGTTTCTGCTACCAGAAGGAATGAGCCTTCCTTGTTCAATGCCACACCATTTGCAAATGCCAAGCCTTGGACCAAGATCTCTACTTTCTTACTACTTGGGTCATATTTCAGCAACCTTCCTGTTTTATCTCCTTTTTGGAATATCATTTCAACTTCCCTATCTCAGAGAGGAAACTCATTAGATTAATCATTATTAAGATGATGTGAAAATCCCACAAAGGCGGTGAGTGAAGAGAAACGCCAAAAGCCTTGTCTTTACAACCTTGATGACTCAACTCATCAAATAATCTTGGCTTTTCACTTTCCTCCATTGTTCATGAATACATTAATTCACGTCATTAAGCGGGTAATATTTCATCATCACCAAATAAATCAAGGTTACATTAATCTTGGATAATGTACATGATCCTAATAATTAATAAGATATTAAGATGCATGACCCTAACCGCATATCTTTCTTAGTGAATATAAGTATGATTTTACATATTCTGCAATATTAATGAAGACTTTGTCTGGTGACCACTGCTTTAGATCATATCCTATTATATATGGTTATAATTAATACTAATTTTATTGATACACCTTTATCATAAATTGAACTTTTTTTCTATGTTCATGAGGTCTTAAAAGTCATATTAAGTCTATACTAAAGCTATATCAAACAAAACCAAATATGGATATGAAGTTTCAACGCAAGAGAGGAAGAAGAAGAATACCTTCTCTGATACACAGTGCTGCTTTCTGAGAAATAAACCACACCAGTTTCGTCATCAACATCTAAGCCATTCAAGAATTTGAAGGGAACATCATCAGCAGCAGCAGAAATGGCTAGTTGTTTGGCCACACCACCACTAGGCCCAACCATTAGAAGGCCAAAATATGCATCTGCTATGTAAAGATTGCATGTTTTCTTGTTAAATTTGAGTCCCAGTGGCCTCCCACATGAAGGTTCCTTGTTTGGATCTGTTGACCCATCACATAATTTCCTGTCCCTATAATTCAACGTAATTTGAAAATACCCATTCAGTAAAAGTTAGATAGAAAGAGCTAAGATTTCGAACTTGAAACACATACTTTCACAACAGACAAGCCAGACCCAATATAATTACGTGGTTTCTACATGCAATATGTGTATATACATATCTATGATATACATTACAGATCAGTTTTGAATCAAACTTTATGAATATTTTTACATTTTAAAGCTAAGATCTTGCCTGTTGGGTGAGGTGACAGCAAATTCAACCCATCCTCTGTGACTTCCTTTCCATTTGAGAATTCTACCATCTGATACACCAATGTACGGCCCTTCGCCATTACAGTCAAAAGCGAAGCTTTCAGGGCCAGAAGCGCTTGGCAGTCTGAGTTCAATGGAGTTTTTCAAGCCATCCTTGAAAACCACTTCACCAGAAGCAAAGGCGAAGAAGAAGGTTGCTGCAACTGAGAGTATCAGAGAGAGAAAGGAAAGTGGGGAAGAAGAAGATGGCTTCATTGTTATGTTAATGATGGAGAGATCATCCAGAAAGGAAGCCCATATATATTACTCATTCTTTTTTGCCTGAATGTGTGTGTGTGTGTGTGTGTGTATTATTCATTCACGGCTTGTGACTATGTGTTAATCAAGGATTGGAGCTCAAGTTTTGGGTGTGAATTTTATTTATTAGCCAAAGATTGAAGTTAAAATGATCATGGGTTAATTATAGCGAAATTAATATTGAAATAGATATATCCCCAAGTTTGAAAAGTCAAATGATCTTACGTTGCTCATGAAAGTGATGGGTATATTTGATTAATTAATCAATTATAAAGAAAGGAGAGCGGGATGAATAAAATGTAATATAGTATTATACTTTTACTTAATATTTTTTAAATATGTTTTTTTAATTATATACTGATAATTTACTAATTAATTTGCCCTTATAAGCAATACTATTTTATAAACAAATAAAGAGCAAATTTGACTTTTTATATCTTATTACCATAATGTACAGTTTTATTCTATCATTTTAATTACAGAACGGTTCATGTATAATACACTATAAAAGGCATGTGAAATACTAATTGATTTCTTGCACACCAAACATTACATCTAGAAGATAGGGAAAAAATTCCATCTTTTTTTTATCATAACAAACTGGCTATAAATATTTGCAAAGACTTGTGGGTAGTTGAAATAAAATTTTATGTTCAATGCTTATGACTTGATGATCTTGATTGACTATTTTAATGATGATCAATTAAATATTTTAACTAAACTATAGGATATTTTTTAACAGGACAACTAACTAATTCATTGGTTCAAATTATAACGTGTTATGTAAGAGTATCTAATATATAACTTCAATTTTATTCCTACTTTTAATAGTGACCATGTAAATTGTGGGTGGATTTTTATAATTTAGCTTTTTCACCCCTTTTATAGCTAGGAATAAAATTGAAATCTTATTAAGTAAATGAAAAAAATTACCTTTTAAATTTTATGTCCAGTAGTATCATAGACTCTTAATTTATTTATTATATAAACTATTTTTTAATTTTAAAAATAATACAATTTAACCTTTGTAATGAATAAAAATTAATTTTGAACACTAATTAATTAAAAAATAACAAAAAAGGATCAAAAAGTTATAATAAAGGACCTAAAAATAATATATAAAGACCCAAAAAATTATAAGAAAGACAATTTTTTGTAATTTTTTATTTTTTTAATTATTTTTAATCAATTAATTGTTAAAATTAACTTTTATTAATTGTAAGGATTAAATTATACAATAAATAAATATAAGTTCTATGCTATTGTTAGATTTAAAATTCAAGGGATGATTTGCTGATTCACTCATCCTTTTATGATACTTTTTGACCAATTTAATTATGTAACTTCTTTTAAGATATATCAAAATGTTGAAACACCTTGTAAAACAAAGACTTTTAGTTAGGGTTGAAATATGTGTTTTAGACTTTTAGTTAAAAAAAAATTACATTTAAAATAAAGGGAGTGCCAATTTTCGAGCCAAACCATGCCACGATCCTTCCACATGTCAGTTGATGATTTAAGTATGTACAAGTACATAGAGTTGTGCGCAGTTGACTTTTAAAATTCTTTGTTAAATGCTGCCAAGTACCGACCAAGTGATTTTGTTGACTATATTTTAACGATAAATATTTATATATTTTAATTAATGATATTTTTAAAATTTGTTAACTAAATTATTACTCATTGGGCTCTTCAATGCATGGAGCACCCAACATTACACATTTATATATATCATTTTTTTATTGCGTATAGGTTTCTTTCTATTTTAAATAATTATATTTGAATATTCATATTCATTTTACATGATTGTAAAAAAATAGTGGACGTAATATTTTCTTTGACATGAAAAAGATGAGATTTTTTTTATAATCGGTTTTCTTGTATATAAAAAAAAAAGATGCAGGTTTGACAAAAAAAAATTTAATGCACGCTTTTGTTTAAAGTTAACAATATATAATCAACACTCAAATTATCATCATCACACACTTTGAAATTTATGCAGATCCATTTTCGACCCTTTGCTTTTGATTATTTAAGATTCGGTCAACTTCTGATCCAAAAAAAAAAAAATGATCTGGTCAACTTTTTCCCAACCTATAACCTTATTTAGTAATTATATCTCTCCTTTTTTTTTTAATCTTTCATATTTCTTTCTTTTAATAATTTAATTTTTCTCACATCCTGTCTCTCGTGAGGGAGTTGGCTTTCCACTATTGCAGTGGAGGAAACACTACAAATTTAAACCTTTAAATTAAATTTAATAATTTTTAAAAGTATCTATTAATATGTATCATTAAACATTTAATCTAAATTGTGAACACCGTATTTTGTCCGGATATTTTTTAAATTTAATAATAAATAACAAAAAAAATATAAAAATACAAAATAAAATTTAATCCTTTTTTAGGATTATATTTAAAAAAACTAATTTTAACAAAATAAAAAAATCTTGTTTAAATCTTTTAAAATCTCTCTTAAATTATCCCAACCATTTAAAGATATTAGAAATCAATTTTTTTAGACTTAAATATTTTTAAATTTCTCTCCTTAAATCTTTTTGTTCTCTATTTAAATATATATATATATATATATATTAAAATTAAATTTTTCTTTCTCTCCTTTAATCTAATTAAAAAAAAAGAAGCATTAAAAAGAATGGCAAAAAATGCTGGTCATGCACGTATAAAGAGAGTAGCTGGAAAACAACTTTCAGCCAGGCGTAAAAGCTTCACAAAGTAAGCACAAATAGTCACAAAATGCCAGAAAGAAAAAAACAAGATCAAACTTGCGTGCACAGTGAACACACGAAACCAGAGCCACAACACAGAGGAGAATGCATGAAACACAGTCAGAAACAGCAGGCAACCAACATACGTACACACTTTCAGCAGAGCAGAAAAGAAACCAGACGCGAAGAGAACATACTCGAACTAAATGCAGAAGCAAAAAGCAAAAAGAAACAAAGCTAGACACATGAAACATAGAAGCCGAAACCGACACGCCAGCTGATACACATGAAAAAAACAAGAAAGACAAACGCATGCAGAAAAAGAAATGCATGCACGTACAAGGAAGCAAAGAAAAACAGAGCTGGAGATACACGCATGCGGATGGTAGTAGAAAAGAAGGGAAATCGAGAAAAACACAACAAAAAAAGAGGCGAAGAAAAGTGCACGAAAAAAAAATGAATAGAGGGAGCATAAAAGAGAGTATAAAAATGTAGATTAGGCTGGACGAAAAGGGAGGAGGAAAAATAGAGCATAAGAGATGGATCCAAGACGGAGAGAAAGAGAGAGAACCGAGGAAGGAGACTGATCTAAAACTGGAAAAAGAGAGAGCCAAGGACGATAGGGAGGAGGAAGACTGAGGAAGAGAAGAAAATACAGAGAAGAAGGAGAGAAAAAAACGATGAGAAAATGCCAGAAAACTAGAGAGAGTAGTGATCGAATGTAGGAAATGGGAGAAGCTTGAATAGAGGTGAAGAAGAAAAAAGAGTGAGGACGAGAAACTGGAAGGAGAACACAGATAGCCTTCAACACAAGAGGAAGATCTAGAGAGAGAAAGCAAAAAAACAGAGGAGAGATGAAAGAAAAAAGAGACAGCAGAAACGCGAGTCGGAGGCGAGTCTGAGAAAGAAAAAAGGAGAATAGAAACAAATCATAAAAGAGGGAGAGTGAGGGAGAAAGAGGATAGCAATGGAGTACTCTGATGTGAAGGTGTTCAGATATGCATTAACATTCAAACATATGAGCAAAAGGACGAAGAGGTTAACAACATACTCATAGAAAAGAAGAAAACATAGAAACAGAGCATGCATGTGCACGTGGGTACAAACGAGATTATCTTCTTCTTCTTGCCTCCGTTACATCGGTTCGGCTGCCAGCAATACACAAGTTCTAATTCAGTCCATCAGTTAGAGGAAGTGATATGGCTTTGAAGCACATCTTGAAGGAGCTCAAGGACTTGTAGAAAGATCCATGGACTTCGTTCTGCACAGGTTCTAATACAGGTTTTTTATAACTTCATGCAACCTTATATTATATCATTTCCTAACCTCAATGTATGCATAGCTTATTATAAAGTACAGTAGTTGAAGGTGATAGATATATCTTTAAAGATTTGATTTTGGTTGCCTATAATTAAAAATTAAACATACTTTTACAAGTTAGATTTTATTAAGCTAAAAATCTTGATTACATAATGAATGTGTTTTTGAATAACCCATATCAAAAAAATTTATCATAATAAAAAAAATTAAATCCTCACAAAATGATCCTCTATCGTGAAAATCAATAAGATTTCGTAGGTATGAGGACAGTTTTGTAGGTATTTATATGAGTTTCAAAGGCCTATTATTAAAGTTAATTCTCTCTTTATACTAAATATTTAAATCTCATGTGAGATTTCAAGAATCTTTGTAAAGACTTAAATTAATCACATTATCGTGTAGGATGATAAATCTTCACAGATATCGTGATTCACAATTTATATGGTAAATAAATTAATAAATTTTGTAAATAAAATAAAAAAAACGTTTTTATAATTTTAATTAATTAAATTAATCAATTTAAATTATAATTATGTTTACCCATTATATTTTTTGGTCATGTGAGATTTTTGAAACTCCGTAGGCCTTTAAGATAATCATACTACCGCATGAATCAATAAAGCTTCGCAGGTATAACGATTAAGATTTTTATATTAAAAAATATGTGTTATATAATTACACATTAAAATATATTCAAAGTGAATATTATTTAATTTTTTTATCGTATGAGACTTTGAATCTCTATAGATATTCAGGATAATCTCGTGTCATGTGAATCAATAAGATTTTGCAGATATGAGAGCAAAACTTATATATTAAAATTAACTCTCCTTTTATAATTTAAATTAATAATTTATTTAAGTCTCATGTAAGATTTTAAGAATATTTGTAGAGACTTAAATTAATCACATTATCATGTGAGATAATAAGTCCTCGCAGATATAGTGGTTCTCAATA